CTGGCGCAATATGGTTCATGGGGTCACGAAGAGTCGGACACGACTTAACGACTGAACAACAACAACAATCCTATAAAACAGTCTTATTCCTGTTTTAGGAATTATATATAAATTATAAATATATAAATTATATTGAAACTGTGCTATAGGAATTATGTTATAGGAATTATAGGAAGCAAGGTTTACTTATTGGATTGCCTATTTGGGAAGTTGTTCATTCTCTCAGGATTTGGTTTCCTTTGCGTTTTAATTGTGTGTATGGTTTAACTTTTATGTATTTTATTTTATGTATTTTTTATTCATACAGTTGTGTGTATGGTTTAACTTTTAATCTTTTTTTAATTTGTGGAGAGCCAGTTTGGTCTAGTGGTTAAGGCACCAGGCTAGAAACCAGTGAATTCTAGTCCTGCCTTAGGCTTTGGGCCAGTCACTCTCTGTCACCCTAACTCATCTCATGGGGTTGTTATTGTGGGAAAATAGGAGGAAGGAGTATTAGGTATGTTCGCTGCCTTGATTTATTTATAAACAGAATAATAAAGGCAGGATAAAAAATCTTTAAAAAAAATGTTTGTGGAAAGTGTATGATAATTTCCAGTTTTACTGAAATAGTACAAATCCTTCTCAACCAGTCATCCCATCTACTGGATATTCACATGTCAGTCCACTAAGATCATTTATTCATTGGACCAATTGCTTATCATGCCAAAAACTCAACACGATGTCTCTGCTTCACAAGAGGTAGACCTCCAAATGATTTGCTGTTTCTGTGTTAACATCTTTCCAAAGAGGTGTTCAGATTTTTTTTGGGGGGGGGTGGCTTCTCATCAGTGTTGAATCCTGGTGACTGCCTGGACCAGTCCCTTCAGTTTTCTTGCCAAGATTTTGGAAGTGGCTTGCCATTGCCTGCTTCCTAGGGCTGAGAGTCACCTATCTGGCTTGTTGCCCAAGGCAAGGCTAGAACTAATGGACTCCCAGCTTCTAGCCTGGTACCTAAACCACCACACCAAATTGGCTCTCAGATTTTGACTAGGCATAATACCTAGTTCCATTATTTGACAGGTCTCCCTTCTTTCCTCCTCAAGTCCTACAAATGGAATGGAGTGTGTCAGGTTGCTCTTTTGTAAAAAATGAAAGTGGCACCTTACTCTTGCCTCCTCCTACAAAATCCCACTGTATGTAAAAGAGAATGACCCCTTCCCTTCTTTCCTAGTAAAATGAGAGAAGGGGGAGAAAAGAAAGATTGCTTTTGTTCTTTCCCACTCTATTTCTGTAGAAAGATTTTGTAGCACCTCATTTTTGTTCCCACAAACAGTAGGAGTTCTTTAAACTCTCCTCCTACAAAATCCCCAAATCCTTTGGGATTTTTATTTTGAAAAAAATCAAAGGGAACAAATGTGGTTTTAGTGCTTTTTGCAAAAAACAAAAATGTGATAGCGATAAAAGCTAAAATCATGGTTGCCTTGGAATTTTCTTGGGTATGTAGACTCTTGGTTTATCATTTATTTTTCTATGCACCAGACTGAGTTTTTTGTTGAGTGGAAAAGTTCGTTTTAAGCAATAAATTACAATTGTTTGGCCAAAAGTTTATCACCCTAATGTTTTCCTCTATTTGGTTGTTCATAGGTCTTGCATAAGAATCTGCTTTTTTAGTTATTTGGCTTTGTGAGACATTCCATACATTTGGGAGCCAGGCTGATTGTGGAGATGAGTTCTATCACTTCCAGGTAAATTTTCCATGATATTCATATACATTGGGGAAGAGATTTGGTCATCTGTCTTGCTAACTGTGGTTTTCTTCTAATTTGTTGTCACCTCACCAGTGCTAAGAATGAAAACTAGCTGAATATAAGGGATGCAAAGAATAATTTTTCTGTAATTTAAATTACAATAATGCAAAAACAAAACCCTGTGCTGTCAGAGAACTGCAGATGTGCTGTAAGAAATAATTCAAATAATTAAAGGTTTTTCTAAGTCACACAGAGATTGAGTTAACTATAGAAATATAGCAGGAAAAGTTTTTAAAAGGCCAGCTGTTCTCTATAATTCTATAAATCCCAAGAAGTGAACAGTGTAGCATTTGAGGAATGTAATCTATAACTTTACAAAATACCTCATTGTATTAGAGTGCTGAAACAGTAAATGATGCAGCAATACTATTTTACATTTTTTCTGTCTCTCTTTTCACTTTAGAGATGAAGAAGAAAAAGACACATTTAAAATTTTAGTTGCTACAGACATTCACCTTGGGTATTTGGAGAAGGACGCTTCTCGTGGAAATGATACTTTTGTAACTTTTGATGAAATATTGAAACTGGCTCAAGATAATGAGGCAAGCCACTTTGAAATCACTTAAAACTACCACTGCAAGGTCACATATTTCCTAGAAATTATTGTTAGGAATTAATTGCATATTACACAAATATTGGCACCCATGACATTGTGAAAGTAGAACCAACTTGAGTCAATTGTACTGAAAGTAAGGATTGGGGCAGTAATGAAAAATTAGCCATGGCAGATTGTAATTTATATTGGAATACCACCTAGAATCTCTTGGGGTCAGTTAATAGTCTTATAAACAGATAAATAAAATTGGTTTTAAGATATGCAGGAATGTTGACTGTTCGTACGCCATTAATTGCAGATAGTGGCACAATTAAATTCACTTTTAAGTGAACTTTTACAACACAACTATGTCTGCACTTTTTCATCTTCAGTTCTTTCTATTTTCAGTATAAGATATACTTTATCATACTTCTTCAGTTAACATAGTAACTTATGTTGGGCACTTCAGTGAGGATTAAAAATAAAATCTGCCAAATTCTAGAAAGGGCTACCATTTCTTTTATTTTCTTCACATTTTTGAGCCATAAAAGGACTTCAGATGCAGTTAGGATATAAAGGCATGGAAGATTTAGGATCCAAAAGATGCTTTGGAGTGGCTGCAAACCTAGTGCCTGCCTGCAACTCCTTAAAATAGCCACAATTATTCCCAGAATCAGACACATTCAGTTAGTTGAACCATTTTTAGAAATCTACAGTCTTTTTGAGAAAAAATGCCTATCTCATAATAACATACCAAAAAAAAAAAAATCTCTTTATAGGTGGACTTCATTTTATTAGGTGGAGATCTCTTTCATGAAAACAAGCCTTCCAGGAAAGCACTATATACATGCTTAGAATTACTAAGAAAATATTGCATGGGTGATCGTCCTGTACAGTTTGAAATTCTGAGTGACCAGTCAGTTAATTTTGGCTTTAGCAAGTAAGTATTCCTATAGTAAACTAAATTCAGTTTTTTGTAAATAACTGATTGTAACTGAATCTCAGTTGTAACTGAACTGTAAATAACTTTCTTAAGAAAGTTAGATCCAGCTTGTCCTTTCTATTGATTAGTGGTGCTGACTCTGGACAATGCTGTATTGTACATTTTTATTGTGGTTTGCATTATTATTGGGAGTTCTCCTGTTCAGTCTGCTTAATGGAGCTCTTGATTTTTGCCCTGAGATTCTGCTGTGCTGGCCTTGTCGCCTGCAAACAAAAAACCCTTCCATTCTTGTAAGGGGCTGAAATGGGAGAAGTGCCTTTTTTTCTACTTCTCCCTCCCCTGTAGCTTTGTACTTCTCTTCCTATATGTACTAAAAGATCTCTCAAACTTCCTGACCAGCTTTTCAGATCAAGGAGCAATCCATTAAAAAAATATCTCATCCCTTTTCTTCAAGCAGAAAATTTATCAAATGATTTCTGTTCCAATCCTGAAATTTGTAAATTCAATAGAAAATAATATATGTAGCTCATGTTTGAACAGTGGAATTCTTGGTGAGCTCTGAGCTTGGCTGGTTGCTTGCAGACATTTCATTACCCAACTAGGTAACATCACCAGTGTGAATGAGTGTGGGGTTTGCTGCCTAATATAGTGGCAGGGCAAACCACTATATATAAACAGACAGCAAACCCCATACTTCCTTGCACTGATGATGTTACCTAGTTAGGTAATGAAAGGTCTGTAACCAAACAGCCAAGCTTAGAGAGCACCAAGAACTTCACCATTCTGAATTCAGCCTATAAGGTTTAAGCATAAAGAAAATACATTCCTCTAGAGTTTACCTGCATGTTGGAAATGATGATGCAGTAATATTTTTGCTTGCTTTAAACTTGTTGTCTTGTCTAGGTTTCCATGGGTGAACTACCAAGATGAAAATCTCAACATTTCTATTCCAGTTTTTAGTATTCATGGCAACCATGATGATCCCACAGGGGTAAGAATGTTAAAGGGTGAAAGAAGACCAGTAGCTTTATTAATTATGCTGGTAATTCTTTAGAAAGATAGCTAAGAGTATAAAAATTACAATTCAGCAGATTATACTAAAATCTGTTAGTGAAATTGAGCATGAATTATCTTGTATCCTATATCAAGTGTTTGGTAGGCTGTGGTTATATTTCTTAAACACGCTGTCAGGTTTATAATGGATTATGGTTAGGAAGGCATATAAGATAAAAATAGCATTTGATGTAATACATGACTTATATTCTAGCGTAGGATGAAATATAACTTCCTGATAGTAAAAGCATATAAACTTTTGTTGTGTAACTGATTTAGTTCAATCTCTTTAATAAATCCAATAAATAAAACTTTAATCCACCAAGTTTTTAAAATTAAACTTCTTTTACCATACTGTGTTTGTATATTTTACTTGTGAAGTATTGTTAGTTTGGGGGAAAATACAGGAATTAGTTCCATTCTGTTTTTTGTGTAATTGTCAGAGGTCATTCTTAATCTGGTGAAGGAAAAGCACAGAAGAAATTATCTGCAAGTCACTTTACATAGCTTGCCATCACTTTTATGTTTTCCCTACTTTTGAGACATCAAAGACTTTTAGAGGCTATTTAATACACGAAAATCCTTAATTTGTCATCTAACATTTGTTTGAGAAATCTGTGCAATGATAACATGCAAAGTATACTATTTTTAATTTATGTCTGTACACACATTCTGGTTTTTAAATTTTTTATTGCTTTTAAATAATGACAGAAAAAAATAGGAACAAAACATAAAGATAATCATGATAGAAATACATACATTCTCAAAGAAAAAAACACATAGCAAGTGCTTTTAAAAAAGTGAAAAAAACAACAGGAAAAAGAAAAAACAAAACAAGTATATATCATATTATAACAGAAACAGTTTCGATTTTGTATATACTTATCTAATGCAAATATTATGCAAGTATAAATATATTTCTAATACACTTAAATAACACCATGCTTTTTAAAAAATTTACCGTATTTTGTATAAATGAGTCTCATATTTCATTATACTTGTCCCTACAAAGTCTACAGGCAATCTGCTCATAGGTGGCAAGTGTAATCAAGTCTTCAATCCATGGAGTGAATACATTTATCTTTCCAATGCTGCAATATCAATCTTTTAGGGCACGGAGAATCCATTTACATTAAAGTCAATTTAGCATGGGAAAAGGGGTCAAATCTTTTTATTAGATATTACATTCCATAGTTTTCTGACTGACATATTTGTTTCCAGAGATACTGGAGTTCTAGTGTATTTAGATCCTAATACTGTCCATCAGCCAAAGGTGCTGTATATGTATATTCCAGAGTTGCCCAAATTGGAATATTAACACCAATTGTTGGCTTCCAGTATTTAATACTTGACAGTAGATAAGCTCGATGATATAGTTCCAGATTTGGAAAACCCCTTTCATTCATTGGTAATTGCACAGATTTAATGCTTTATGTGTTGTGGATTGAACAAAATGGATGTGTCACAAATTCCATATTTGATATTATTCTCTATATCTACAGGCAGATGCTCTTTGTGCTTTGGACATTTTAAGTTGTGCGGGACTTGTTAATCATTTTGGACGTTCACCATCTGTAGAGAAAATAGAAATTAGTCCTGTTTTGCTTCAGAAAGGAAATTCAAAGATTGCTCTTTATGGATTAGGTAAGTTTTTTGCATGTCTTTAATCTGGGCATGATATTTTGGATATACAACTGGATCTCCAAAAATGGAAAAAAGGATAAAAACGTTGAATTGAATTTTGATTTTGTAATTTGTGGGTTAGAATTAGGAATAGGAGTAGCAGGATTTGATCCATATAAGATTGATTATGTGACAATATTTTATTTCAAACTATCTCAAATGCAAAATTTTGTGAGATAACCTGTTTCTGAGTGCAAAGCCTCTGCTTTGAGTGTGAAACATGCTGATCTGAGCATTAAGAACTGTTCAAACTCAAAACTACCACTCCAAACACTGAGATGAAGTTTCATTCTTGAAAGGATTCAAAACAAGATGCTTTACTTGCCACTAAATTTTATTTTATAATTTTCATGAAATGAGTAGCATTTAGGGTCAACTCGCATCTCACCCCATCATTTCTGTGCTCTCTGTAATGTGGAAAAAGTGTAAGGCTGTAAGGACAAAGACAATAAGCATAGAGAAGTATTGCCTGCATAGTTAAAACATACCCGTTTACACTCTGTGTTTGTGTGTGTGTGTGTGTGTGTTCTGGACTTATTCTCTCTGCTTTCCTGGTTGGTGAAAGTTGGTTTTCTTATTCTTGTGGTGCCATTTTATTTAATTTTTATCCCTCTTTCTCCTACTTAATTTCCTTTTTGTGGTGAATTAGATTAGTTGCTGGTACTATTTTGTGGAACAATTGCAAACATCCAGTGGTAGTGTGTCCCCTGCATTTTCATTGTTGCACATTTCCTATATAATTGTAGCTATCAGAAGAACTGTTGTGAGCCTGTAGATTGGTGTTTCTCAACCTTGGCAGCTTTAAGATATGTGGACTTCACCTTCCAGAATTCCCTAGCCAGCATGCTGGCTAGGGAATTCTGGGAGTTGAAGTCCACACATCTTAAACTGCGAAGTTTGAGAAACACTGCTGTAGACATACAAAGAGCAGCGTAACTGACTCTAAAACATACTTTCCTTGGTTGTCTTCTTTGCTCTTATGCTTGCCTGTCCATTCTCATGATTTGCCCTATATTTATTTCTTTTAGTAGCTATACGTACCTCTTTCTTTTGGGCAGTTACCTTCTATAAATATAGCCCTTGAGATTGTTACTTGTTTTGGAGCAATACATTTGCTGGCAATAATCAGTTGCTATTTTTCAACTAAAAGCATACAAATACAAAATACTTTAATGACCAAGTATAAAATATATACAAGGAATTTGTCTTCGGTGACGAATTCAACTAAAAGCATACAAATACAAAATACTTTAATGACCAAGTATAAAATATATACAAGGAATTTGTCTTCGGTGACGAATTCAACTAAAAGCATACAAATACAAAATACTTTAATGACCAAGTATAAAATATATACAAGGAATTTGTCTTCGGTGACGAACAGCAAGATCAATGGTGCATTTGGATAACAAGAGAAAATTAATAAACAATAACAATAACACTGCCCAGTAAAATAACTTTTCCAAAAGAAGAAGCCACTGTCCAATACATATGAAATCATATAGTATTTAACAGAGCAATAAATAACTTTTCCAAAAGAAGAAGCCACTGTCCAATACATATGAAATCATATAGTATTTAACAGAGCAATGGCACAAGGGAAAAAACTATTCCGACGTCTAGATGTTTTAACATATGGAGCTCTATAGCACCGTCCTGAAGGAAGAAGTTGGAACTAAAAGCATGCAAGAGATTCATTTCTACTCTCACCCATCATATGCCATAACATTGTACTGCATTGTACTGAGTCAGTTTGCACATCATGCTAAGCCATTAATCACAGGGGCTGGGTTCAGCAACATGTTAGGGTTTTAAAACCACATTATAGCTGCAGAATGACCCATAGCAATATTTGTTGCTTACCAGTCTCTTCTCTAATGCTGAAACATAACATGTAGGTGAGTGGGCTTAATCTTAGTCAAAAGGCCAAGAAGTCTTTCCTTAGCCTTTTGGCTAAAATCAAGTATGTGTATGTATGTGAATGTGCCTCCATAGTGCTAATCAATGTTTTGTGTAAAAGAAGGTACAGTTTGTTTGTTATGTGGATTTATATATCCACCCATCATCACTGAAGCAATGAGCATGAAACTGAGCAAACTCAGGGAGGCAGTGAAGGACAGGAAGGCCTGGCGTGATATGGTTCATGGGGTCACGAAGAGTCGGACATGACTTAACGACTGAACAACAACAGATATGTATGTGAATGTGCCTCCATAGTGCTAATCAATGTTTTGTGTAAAAGAAGGTACAGTTTGTTTGTTATGTGGATTTATATATCCACCCATCATCACTGAAGCAATGAGCATGAAACTGAGCAAACTCAGGGAGGCAGTGAAGGACAGGAAGGCCTGGCGTGATATGGTTCATGGGGTCACGAAGAGTCGGACATGACTTAACGACTGAACAACAACAGATTCATGATTCTGGGTTTCTAATAACAGTTAAAAACACAATAAAAAGAATCTAGAACAGTAAAGACAACACACATATAATTAGCAACCAAGATAAAAACAAAACTATCAACAGCAAATCAACTTAACCATTGCACAGGCTCTGCCATACAACTGGATCCCCAAGCCCAGTTTGTCTTTAAGGCCTTATGAAAGGCTGACAGGGTCAGAGCCAATCTAATCTCTGGGGGAAATGATTTTCCAACAGAAAAGGCTTTGTTTGGTTTGCAAGCTGGCTGATCAGTGAGCAAAAGAATAAACTTGCTTCAGGTTGTATATTTGCAAGTAGCAAATTGCAAAGTAATTTCATATGTTATCTAATCTCACTACTCAGTTGTGTAATTTTCTGCCTGGTTGACCACTAAAACTCCATTGCATGGTCATTTTTCTCTTCTAGGATCTGTTCCTGATGAAAGGCTATATCGAATGTTTGTGAATAAACAAGTGACCATGTTGAGGCCAAAAGAAGATGAAAATAGATGGTTTAATCTGTTTGTAATTCATCAGAACAGGTACAGCTGCTGTTTACTAAGCAACAATTCTGAGCCCTTTCCACTTGTTTCATTCTGATTTAAAATTAAATCACTGAAATCTTACTGTCCTTGGACAGCAAAACAAATACAAACTGCATTAATTAACTTGGGGAAAGTCAAATGAGGGAAAGGGAAGACAGATTATGATATGCAAATATTTTCAGCATCACATTACAGTGAAACACAGAAACATAAAGCACTTAAGTCCAGAGCTTTAGGTTCTCTAAGGCAAGAAGCAGTTGCTCTCCTGGGTTTGAGGAACAAATAAACAAAATGATAGCTGGATGGAATCCAGAGAGAGAAATTTAAATGAGTTCAGTGGCCCAGTAGGATTTTTTTTTCATTATTACTTTAAATATGAAAGATACATATTTTATTTCAAGCTTCTTTCAGAATATTGACCTAGTTTAAACATGCTTTGCCGTGTGTATTCTAGGTACAAAATATATGATGTCTACTTCTGACTTCCTGCTATGTATTTATAAATTGTTTCATTTTGCACTTGAAGTCTGTTGTGCAAATGAAGTCACATTATATCTGAGAAACTTGACCTGGGATTCAGGTAGCAGATTCTGTACCTGAATGTAAATTCAGCCCATTATGTCATATTCAGCAACTCTTGTAAAAGAACCATCCATCCATCCATCCATCCATCCATCCATCCATCCATCCATCCATCCATCCATCCATCTTTAATCAAAAAATGAGTCCAGGCAGCTTACAAAAGCAGTATACAATAAATTGAACAATATGTATGAATTAGCAAATCAACACCATGATAACATTGCAATAACAACGAGAATATCGTTTAACAGCACTTACATGTATCTTCAGTACACCCATCCCCTACCTCTGAGTCTTTGAGCGCCTGCTTAAATAGCCAAATTTCTCTGCTTGTCTAAAATTAACAACAAGGCTTACTTCTGGGTGGAGTTGATTCCATAGGAAGGGAAGCTCTGGTGGAGCATCCTTGTGTCAGATTCCTGCCATATCTTAAGGGGAACAGGGGCAGGAACTCTTAGTATGGTTTTTCTACCAGCACACTTGGGAAGGTATATTCTACTTGGAGGAGGCAGTCCTGCAGTTATCTAGGCCCCAAGTCCAAGCTATGAAGGACTTTACAGGTTACTTTTAGTGCTTTGAATAGCATTGGGAAACAAGTTGGTGCTGTCTCCAAAGTGCTGGTGTTATATGACAAATGGGCATTATTTCCTAGAGTGATATGTGAACCTACCTTGTGTCATGGAAATGTCTTTCATGCTTAAAGGAATTATTGCCCCAATTTTTTTCTCCTATGTACAGCACTACTATATTAGGCAAAGGAACCTATTCTAGGTGATCAGAATTAGGCCAGGTAATTTAAGAAGCCCCATGGAGGCCTGCGTCAGTGGACTTTAATCTAGAAATAGTTCCTCATTCTGAGGAGCTTGAGGGTGTTCCTTCATTTTCTCCCTTAATGACACAGTAACCAGGTTGCATCTTGTGCCTTTGGCCTGTGATCAACTCATCTGGATTCTGAACCCATAGCCTGTCCTTAGTTGTCATCCATCTTTGGTGGTTCAGATCTTTGCTTACTTTTATGCCAGGGATGATCTGTCTCTACTGTTGGTCAAGGCCGTTGAGTCTGATAGATGTCACTTTTTTTAATGTAGCAAAACAATTTTAGAACTAGAACAGCAACCCATAATTACATTTGTTTTGATGTGTAGGTGGGATTGTAGCTGTAGATACGGAAATCTAGCATTTTCTTTTACCTTCTCTTATATTTTGATATCTGATCATCATATTTGAAATAGTGAGAATGGGCTTAATATTGTGATAACAGATGCCATATTTAACATTGGGTACTTCAGAATACTGTTTTAATTTTTTACTGTTGTATTTGTTTTCTTTGGCACAGGAGTAAGCACGGCGCCACAAATTATATTCCAGAACAGTTTCTAGATGATTTCATTGACCTAGTAATTTGGGGTCATGAACATGAATGTAAAATATCTCCAACCAGAAATGAGCAACAACTTTTCTATGTTTCTCAGCCAGGAAGTTCAGTGGTTACTTCTTTGTCACCAGGGGAAGCTACCAGAAAGTATGTTCTTATATTTTTTCAGTAATTTGCGTTCTATATTCAGTGAAAATTTATGGGAGCTTTTTTGTGTGTTTGTACCCTACTAGCATGTCATTAAGTTGAAACACCATGTCCCTTTCATTCTTGAGGAATCTAGGGATAATGCGTTTTGCTCATTTTTGGACATCTTGGTTCTAATGTCCTTATCAGAAAGGATAATCCAAAGAAAGTCTGAAAACAATGTCTCTGTGATAGATGGCATTCTCCATTGTCACAATATTGAAGCCACCCTAACCAATTTGTAACTTACTTATGGGTTAGTAACTTACTTACCACACTGATTCCCCAAATGTAGTATAGTTCTTGGTATTAAAATGTTGCAGGCTAACTGACAGATTCATAGGAAAGGAGAAAGCTTTATCTACTGAATGCCTCCTGGTTGACTCAAGAATAGATTTAGACTGATATAAAGCAATATAGCCAGAGAGACTTATTTAAAGAGAAGTGCTTCCCAAGAAACCTCTTTACTAATGCCACTAGTAAATTATAAAAAAACAGAAACCCATCTGCTAAAAATAATCCCTGTGCCAAGAATTGTTGTAAGCCGCCCAGAGTCCCCCGTTGTGGGGAGATGGGCGGGGACAAGTCAAATAAATAATAATAATAATAATAATAATAATAATAATAATAATAATAATAATTGCATAGACTCTGAGTTTTCGAAGTAAGGCAAAGAAACTAGTTATACATCTGGCTTTGTAACAGGCCAATCAGGGATTTGGGAATGTTCAACAGATGCCTCTGTCTTCTAAATTAGGGAAGGAGACTTAACCACAGTTTTTCTCTCCTCAAGAAACTGTGGAAGAAGAGGAATTGTAGAAATCTCTCTTATATCTAGTTCTGTTTTACCCAAGAAAATTATATTCTTATATAGAGCATATATTATATATATAAAATTATTATATAATTATATAAACTTATATAATGCAGCTCATTGGGTGGCTTTGGGGAAGTCCTTTTTCTCAGTTCAATGTCTCTAACAAGATTGTTAAGACAGTCAAAAAGGGAATAACAATATGGAAGTTGCCTTTATCTGCTTAGAGGAAAGGCAGAATATAAATGTAAGAAACAACCTAATCTACTTAGTTATTAAACACAATAAACCACATCATTAGTTGCAATGATGTAATCTAACTGAATTTAGGTAAGAGAATTATTTCATTATGCATTTATGTAAACCTTAGGGCTGGCTTTTGATGATTATAAATCGGACTTCTTAGCCATGGACTTCGATCTTCTCCATCTCTCAGGGTTCCATTGTTACTGTAATTGCTTTCTGCTAAGTTCTGTGAGTATTTTGAAGTTCTGCCATGTTGCCAAGATTTAAACAGCTTTGTCCAATGCCTTCCAGACATGTTGGTTTGTTGCGCATCAAAGACAAAAAAATGAAGATGCAGAAGATTCCTCTCCAGACTGTACGGCCTTTCTACATTGAAGACATTGTTCTGGCTGACTTCCCAGATACCTTTCAGCCAGATAACCCAAAAATCACACAAGTAATACAAGATTTCTGCATGGAGAAGGTAACTTTAAAAAGAAATTGTATACAGGTATTGGTATGGCCCTTACTATAGTATTGGATGTGGTACTAGTCAGAAGTTAGTATCAGGTGAGTGGAGTCCTTCTTAAACAAAAGGACTTTTCTTCATTGTCTCTCACATTTCGTTGTTCTGCATGTGCGCGCACACACACACACACATACACACACAGCCTGTTATGATCACAGATACAAATGGGGGACAACTTTTTCGGCTGAGAGCTTGCGATGCAGGACAGTCACCTTTTTTAAACTGAGTTAAGCATATTTTATTCGTTTTATTTTATTTGTTTATTGTATTTATGTAGCCGCCCATCTCACGCAAAGTGACTCTGGGCAGTGTACAACAATTTAAAAGAATACATAAAAACAATTACAAATTACAAATAAAAAACTATAAAAGCACCCAAAACAGGAGGGGATAAAATTAATAAGGGAGCCATTGCAAAATTTCTCTGGTCCCCTGGGAGCCCCAGGCCTGATCACCTAGCCGGGTCTCGAGGGGCTTCTGGAACGTTAACAGAAATGGAGCTGCCTCACTTTGGGATGGAGAATGTCCCATAAGGCAGGTGCCACAGCAGAGAAGGCCCACCTCCTGGGACCTGCCAAGCGTATATCTCTAGCAGACGGGACCTGCAGCATGCCTTCTCTGCCAGACCAGATGTAATTGTGGAGAGGCAGTCCCTCAGGTAACCCAGCCCCATGCCATGAAGGGCTTTAAAGATCAAAATCAGCACCTTGATTTTAAGGGTCATGTTACCTTTTTGTTTTGTATTTTATGCTACAAAATGACAGAAATGCTGTTGCCAATTTTTGGCAAATTGCTGCTGTCCAGGCTCTGTGAGAGTCCAAAAAGAGGTTTTGAGACTGTGTTTAGACTGGGGGTTGTAGTTGTATTGGAGTTATAATCTTGTTAGAGACACTGAACTGAGAAAAAGGATTTCCGCAAAGCCACCCAGTGAGCTTATTATATAAGTTTATATAATTATATAATACAGTGGTACCTTGGGATACGAACTTAATCCGTTCCGTGACTCTGGGCGTATCCCGAG